TCTTACATTGTATTACGTTATGGACTCACTAGATTATGACTTGTTAAATGTGAATTTATATCATCTCAGTTTTAATCTAAGGTGGACCACTGTGGCGGACATAGATGGGTCGAGGGTTGGGTTGTTGTATCGAGGGCAGAGTCCGGGGCCACCAGGCGTGGGGTCGCCCTCCGTTGATGTCTTCCCCGCGTAGGTGGTCTGGGCTATGAGGGTCGTCCAGGAGCTTGTACCAAACCTTCTTCCCTAGGCGATGGAACCTAACGTTGAGGGCCTCTGTTTTATTTCTTAGGTGAATAGTTTCCACTGTCTCCTGGTAGGGTGGCGCTTGGCCACTGGCTGACCTCAAACACTTGTTTTGGAAGCTCTGTAGTTGTTGTAGTCTGGTCTTCCCGAGTGTGACGAGTGGTAAAGATGGGTACTCCAACACAGGCCTCACCAGCGCCTTGTACAGGTGAACTTGTATCTTCTCAGGCATCAGTTTAAAACGTTTTAATTTGGCTGCGGCGACTTTGGCTTTATTTAATCTAACCTTCACGTGGGGAATGATGCCCGTCCGAGAGATGCTGAGGCCGAGCAACCTGCCTTGTTTAGAGTACTCAATCTCTTCGTCGTCGATCATCAATGGCGCCGGCTTGAATTTGGCTCTGGGTATGACCTCGAATTTCGTTTTGTTTGTTTTTTTTTCTATTTATTTTCATACTCCGAGATCTCCTCTATTGCCCGAGCAGTGAGTCGCGCCATCCTTGCCGTGGACCTTTCTGGGGAGGTGACGATCTGTGTTACATCGTCGGCATACATGACGTACTCGCTGCCGACGATTGGGGGTGGCAGGTCAGCCGTGTAGAGCGTGTAAAGGGTTGGTGAGAGACAAGAGCTGAGGCACGCCGCTTGAGAGTGAGAATTCTTCTCCAAAATGTTCTTGCATCTTGATTTTGGCTCTGCGGTCCGTAATGAAGTTGTATAGCAGGCTCGTCAGATTTTCGGGTAGCCCCAGTTGTATGATCTTATACTGCAGCCCCGCGTGCCAAACTTTGTCAAACGCCTTGCTGACGTCCCTCAATACTATGTTGCACTGCAGGCGGCCAGTCATGGCATTGGCGACCTGCTCGTAGTCCTGAGCTATGGCGGTGGATGTGCCTCGGTACTGGCGGAAGCCGAACTGGCGGGGATTATGCACGTCTTCGTCCTCCAGATACATCCGCAATCGCTTGTTTACTATTTTTTCGAAGATTTTGGCAGGTACCTCTAGCAGCGATATTGGTCGAAAGTTTTCGACTTTGTTTGGAGGCTTCTCTGCTTTTGGTATGAGGCGAATAACGGCGATTTTGAACATCTTAGAGAAGTATCCAGAGGCGAGGCAGGCGTTGCATATATGAGTAAGCCTCTCTATCATGTTGTCGGGGAGTTGAGCCAGGATCTTCTTGTAAATGTGACTTTGCCCAGGGGATTTGTTTTTAAACCCTTTTATGACGGCTGACACATCTGCAGGAACTATGCGCTCCGTCAGGTACCTTCCGTCCACCAGTCTAGTCAGTGGGAGCGGCTGGAGCAGGTGCTGATGGTCCTGCAACTGGTCTAAAATGTCCTCCTCAAACTCCCTGTCGAAGCCCTCGTTCTCCTGTTCACTAATGGTAAAGATCTTCAGTAAATATCTCCGATGTAGTTCTTGGGTTTCCTCCTCGAATATTTTCACGTTGTTTTGGTCGAGCAGGTAAGGGACCGTGCTAGAGGTGGAACCCATTAGTCGCTTGATCCCTTTTCAAAATGCAGCAGAATCGCTGTAATTGTTGGTTGCCTCCCACACCAAGGCGGACCACTTTTGCTCAAGTAGACGTTTGCTCTCGTGCTGGATGTCCGTCTGTAGCTCTCGGTAGACGGAGAAGGACAACGACATCCCGTCCACCACTCACAGAACCATTCCCCATCCTCACACTAGTCACCGGCTGAGGCAGCTTAGTGTACAGTACGATCACGTGAGACAGCTAGCCAGTATCCGCGGGTGGACGCAAGTGCTGAGAGACTGACTTCACTAGACTGGTGGACGGAAGCTACCTGATGGAACGCATAGTTCCTACAGATGTGTCAGCCGTCATAAAGAGGTTTAAAAACAAGTCACCTGGGCAAAGCATATTAACAAGAAGATCCTGGCTCAACTCCCAGGCAGCTTGATAGAGAGGCTTGCTTATACATGCAATGCCTGTCTCTCCTCTGGATACTTCCCTAAGAAGTTCAAGTTCAAAATCGCCGTTATACGCCTCATACCAAAAGCAGGGAAGCCTCCAAATAAAGTCGAAAAATTTCGACGGATATCGCTTCTGGAGATAGCCAATTCGGCTTTCGTTAGTACCGAGGCATATCCACAGCCATAGCCCAGACCTATGAACAGATCGCCAACGCCATGACTGGGCCGCCTGCAGTGCGTCGTAGTGCTGAGGGACGTCAGCAAGGCACTTGACAAGGTTTGGCACGTGGGGCTGCAGTATAAGATCTTACAACTGGGTTACCCGAAAACTTGACGCGCCTGCTATACAACTTCATTACGGACCGTAGAGCCAAAATCGAAGATGCAAGAACATTGTGGTGAGGAATTCTCACTCTCGAGCGGAGTGCCTCAGGGCTCTTGTCTCTCACCAACCCTTTACACGCTCTACACGGCTGACCTGCCACCCCCAATCGTCACCTGGCCGGGAAGGTCCACGGCAAGGATGGCGCGACTCACTGCTCGGACAATGGAGGATATCTCCTGGTATGAAAATAAATGGGAGATAAAAACAAACAAAACGAAATTCGAGGTTATACCCGCAACCACATTGATGATGGACGACGAAGAAATTGAGTATTCTAAACAAGGCAGGCTGCTCGGCCTCATCATCTCTCGGACGGGCATCATTTCCCACGTGAAGGACAGACTAAAGAAAGCCAAAGTCGTCGCAGCCAAATTAAAACGGTTTGAACTGATACCTGAGAAGATACAAGTCCACCTGTACAAGGCGCTGGTGAGGCCTTTGTTGGAGTACCCACACATCCCACTCGTCACACTCGGGAAGACCAGACTACATCAACTACAGAGCTTCCAAAACAAGTGTTTGAGGTCAGCAAGTGGCCAAGCGCCACCGTACCAGGAGACAGTGGAAACCATCCACCTGAGAAATAAAACAGAGGCCCTCAACGTCAGGTTCCATCGCCTAGAGAAGAAGGTTTGGGACAAGTTCCTGGACGACTCTCACAGCCCAGACCACCTACGCGGAGAAGACACCAACGGAGGGCAACCCCACGCCTGGTGGCCCCGGAGTCTGCCCGCACTACAACAACCCAACCCGCGACCCATCTATGTCCGCCGCAGTGATCCACCTTAGATTAAAACTTAGATGATATAAATTCACATTTAACAAGCCACAATCTAGCGAGTCCATAACGTAATACAGTATAAGATTTTAATAAACTTGTAATTGTAAAATCAATCTAGTCATTGTCTACTAAAGTAACCATTGTGTAACCTCATCCTAAATCTTAGGTTAGCTTAGTTAGCCAACAAACTCTGTAATATGTAAAACAAGGGGTGTCGTCCCCCTCTGTTTAACTCATTAAACTTCTTTTCCAAGCTTCCCCCCACGACTATATGTTGTGACTTCTCTATCCCTCATGTCTGGCTGTGCCTTGAGCCCCAGCATGCCTTCCATCCATTCCCCAACTTAACCTAAAAAAAATATAAATGATGGAGACAAACTGACTCGAAACTGTAGCGATAGAATAAACAAAATGTTTTTTGTCAAATAATCGTTTTATTGTTCATCATAAGACTCCGCTTCCCGAACCTCAAACCTATTGTGATATACAGACAGACAGACAGACAGACAGACAGACAGACAGACTGATAGAGAATGCTAGAAAACCCAAAACAAAAGAATGCTACATTAATAAACAACTAATTAAGATAAACAGACAATATATGAGACATGTAAACAAATATATGAAATATGTAAACAAGCACAACAGGTGATTCATGTCATCACATTGTTTCACCTTCTGGTATAAAAATTGAACTTTGGTCAATTAACACATAAACCCGGCAACTGTACCCCAGATAATGACCTTCTTACAGTTTTAATTAAGTTGTATAATTAGTTTTTCATGTATTCTGGTTACATATGTAACAAGTTTCCAACCAAAATTCTGACCTCCCAGTTGACCTTGGACTTAGGGTCAATTAATGCCAAGATCTAGATACCATACTTCAGAATATTGTTCACCTAATGTGCAAAGTTTTAATGAAGTTTAGTACAGTAGCTCTGGATATATCATGAACACGTAAAGAACGAGTATCAGACAACGAAATTGACCTGTCTGTGACCTTGAACGTGGGTAATTAAAACTAAGCTTCCTCCACAGTCGTAGTGAGCATTATTAACATACAAGACCTAATGAAATAAGTTGTATAGTTTCTGTGTTACAGCATAATTATCTTTGATGAAATTGATCCTTGATAGATTGACAGATTGACAGATTGATAGACTGATAGATTAATAGACCGATAGACTGATAGATTGATAGATTCGTAGACTGATGGATTGATAGACTGATAGATAGATTGATAGATAGGTTGATAGATAGATTGATAGATTAATAGACTGATAAATTGATAGATTGACCGATTGACAAACTAGTAGATTGATAGATTATTCTGATAGACTTACAGAGGGATAGATTGATAGATTGATAGACTGATAGACTGGCGGACTCATAAACTGATTGACCGAGAGATCAGATTAATTTAGAGATATACTGAGAGACTTAGAGATAGAAGAGCAGAAAAAAGATGACAAATAGAGAGAGAGACAGACAGGTAAAGAGAAAGACAGACAGACAGACAGGTAAAGAGAAAGACATATTGACAGACAGACAGACAGACAGACAGATAAACAGACAGATAGAGAGGGAGATCGATATTGAATGAGAGTGATATGTGTATAGACAGATAGATTAAAGACAGACAGAAGTACCTGGTGTAGAGGTGGTGGGCGTGGGTGTGGTGATGATGGGCGGTCATGAGGGCGGCATAGCTGGTGAGGGCGGTGGTGTGGGCGGGATCCAGGCTAAGGGCGGCTTCGTAATGTCTGGCGGCCGGTTCATTCCGTCCTGTAAGCGGAGAACAGAAGCCAGAAGGATATATATTGTATGGTGTATGTTAATATATATTTATACATTATATACATGAAACTCTCTCTCTCATCCTGCTTTATGTGTGTGTGTGTGTGTGTGTGTGTGTGTGTGTGTGTGTGTGTGTGTGTGTGCCTCTCTCTCACCTAATTTAACAAGCAGGGCAGCGTAGTCAGTCAACACGGTCGGATTAGTAGGGTGGTGGGCAGCTAGGGTGAGCAAGACTTCTTCTGCAGCCTTCACCCTTCCCTCCTGGAGGTAGAGGTCTGCTAGGAGGCACCCCAAGGCCTCCTGTTCCTCCTCCTCCGGGGTAAAGGTTGACTCCAATAGGTACACGGCTTGTTGGATACGTCCTTGTTGCCTGGGAAGAAAGAGGGTGTGTGTGTGTGTGAGAGAGAGAGAGAGAGAGAGAGAGAGAGAGAGAGAGAGAGAGAGAGAGAGAGAGAGCTGTCTCAGACCTTTCATGTGTTTACCGAACTAAGTTACGAATTTTATGGACTCTGCTGGGGTCGTGATTATTATCATCATCATCATCATCATCATCATCATCATCATCATCATCATCATACAGGGCAGTGCACACCGAAACAGTTTAATATCGCCAGTAACACGTCAAAAGGCTCCGCCATGTGGCCAGATCTAATATGCCGCTATGCAGTAGTTAACGGGTATTTGATAGCTTAGAGACTCGTATCCAGCCATATTGTATATCATTATCTTGGCTATATTACCTACATATTAAATTCTATTGGTTCAATATTGTAGACGGAGGGATCAGGAGCCTCTGATGTGTCGATAGTGTTGATATATTTAATACCTGGTCACTTGGCCTTGGTCTCTGTCTCTGACATGTGTGGTCTCTGATTTTTGCTCAAGGGTTTGGATATCACAAATAAATTTTCAGGTCTTTTGGGAAGGAGTTGTCAAGAGGTTAAATTTGGGTTCAGGTAGAAAGACAATAACCATTAATAAACTAAATATAAATCTAGCCTGGTTCTAGGAAAAGTTGACCGTAAGTCGGGATATCTTGGGACCGCATACTCAAAAACATTTATGGGACTGTATCTCTTTGTCTACCCCGATCGGTATACAGGATCTCCTTAGGTGCTGTAACATGCTCAACCCGGATATAGTAAGTACTCTATTTCCTGACTGAATAAAAAAAAATATATATATGTTGAAGTAAACTTGTTATACTTGTTTTATCATAGAATAATGAAGAAAATGTTTTGTACATCAACATACTAAAATACGATATCACAGTATGTCTTTTTAGTTATTTTTGGTTTACGAGAAGAAGAGGCTTGAGTGTGTTTATTTTTGTTGTGGAATGGAAGAGACGCATCTTTTGTCTACTTACAACTTTTCAAGTAATTTTTACCAAAATTGAAGGTTTGTATTGTTCACATTTATGGGACAAATATTTCTTATGAATGAGTAAGCTTGCAGATAGACCTTATTAATGTGGTATAGCCGTAGATATCCGCCAGTAATGAAAGCCAAATATGAGGTCAAGTGAACATTCATGCCTAGACTTCGCCTTCTTTTTGCATATTCAACCAATAGCCTACTCCTATTTTCTTATGTATATGGCTTATGATAGCATGATAGGCTCTACGTGTCCATAGGCTAGCCAACTTGAAATGATAGTGGGCTTAAAATATGGATTGCAATTAACTTGATTAAGCTAGGGGCCTACATAACTGCCTTTTCAGTCTTATCCAAATAAATGTTTAAACATGGGGGCCAAGTTAATTTAGTTAAAACATGAAGAATATTTAAAGGGGAAATTCTACCACACAAGAACTTGTACATGGCTGTCCATCGACGGTAGCCTAGGGTAGAGTATTAATTTTAGATACTTTAAGGCTAATGTGATTTAATTTCAGGATTGAATTCTTGCTTTTCCGATGAACTTCAAGCATATTCAGACCAAATTACCCAAACATTGAAAGGAAAACACCAGGGTCTAGGCTAAATCAGTAGTATAAGAGAAGGGATTGGTCATTTAGGTTAGGCAAGGCTATGCTATCAATAACCTATTTATTTGAAGTAGCCCAGAATGAGGTTATCCTAGTCTAACTTATGTGTCTTGTCATAGGTCAGCATTACCCCAAATCCTATTTGGGGTAAAACACCAAATACAATATCTAATAAAATAAAGACAGGTCAAAAGACTCTACGGCTGCTGAGAATGCTGCTGTTCCTACCAGAAAGCAGCTTCAAATGCAAGTAGTTGACAGACAAGAAGCAAGATAATGCCTTTCTCTATGCTATGGAGGGAAGTTTAACTCAATTAAAGCAACTTAAATGTATTTAATCTAATGTATTATGAGTTCTTCCTCCTCGCTGAAACTTGGTCACCTCTTCTTCGCAGTAGGTCCTTCCATCTTTTATTTACAAACAAACTACTATCACGTGCGTCGATCTCAGCTGATTTCTCCTTCTCTTGTGATTGGTTGATGATTTTTGAACTGATTGACTTTTGGTCAAGAGAACCGAATTTACAAACACTAGAATTACAGACTGCTTACGGACCCGTATTTAAATTTTGAGTATGAGAAATTTACGGGACTGTAAGAAGTCTGTAAGTTATGGTCCTGTATGTCTGCTACTGTACGTCACTGATGAGGTGTTTTGAGTATGCTGCCCCGGGGTTCTAATGCAAGGTGACTCGGGCTAGTCTGGCACGGACTTTTCTCACTTTGCCTGCCTCTAGTATTAAGCTGAGCGTGCAATTAGCCGTGGGAGATGAGGCCCCATACATGTCGACCATTACTGGATATGTTGATGCTTTTTAAGGGTAATGAACACTTCTTTTATTTAAGATAAATATAGAAAATACTATATCTTGATAAAATCACCGAGCATGAGGGAATAGTTACGACCTTACTATATAAAACAGAATTTGAGTTTAAATTCAATTACTCCTATTTATATCATAGTGTCGAAAACTAAATGATTTGGTAGTTGGTCCAAAAACATACACACCCATATAAGTTGGTAAATATGTTCCCTTTTAAAGATAGTATTGGCCTTTCATCATCTCGGGATTGCAACACCTTTTTTTATAATTAAAATTCGGCCTATGCACAAGGATATACTGTATATAAATGCGGATAAACTAAAGATTAGTCCCAAAAATGGTCACGTAAGATTAGTCTCTAACCCAGTGAACAGGAGAGGGACCGAAAGACCAATTCCTCAGTCGTTTGTTCGGAACCTAAAGTTAGTTCCCCCATAATATCAGTTTTACTAAGATTTCACCTACAATAAAGATATGTATACTGTACAGTACATACTAATATAAACTTGGATTCTCCTATTGCTTTGCTCACTGGACGTGATGTTTAGTGGATCATTCCCTTCCAGCAAGAAGGTTAGTCGGTCTTGCACTGCTTTGAATCCGAACATCGACTTTTCTGACATTTTCTTTCACATTGAACATCCGGTGACCAATATAAGTTTGTGTTTGATAATTTTTCCAACTGTCACTGGTTGAGCCCAAAGGAATAGTTGGTCTAGGTTGGACTCAGAAAAGACGTTAAGTAAACATAAGAACATAAGAACATAAGAATGGAGGAAACTGCAGCGGGCCTATTGGCCCATACTGGGCAGTCCCGTTTACACCCAACCCCTATTGCTCATATGAGCATCCAACCTATGTTTGAAGCAATTCAGCGTATTCGAGTTAATGATGATATTTGGTAACTTGTTCCACTCATCCACTACTCTCTTTTCAAACCAATGTTTACCTATTTCGCGCCTAAATCTAAATTTGTCTAATTTAAAACCATTGTTACGAGTTCGCCCCTGGTTGGATAGTTTGAGTACCTTTGTTATGTCCCCTTTGTTTAGCCCTGACTTCCATTTATACACCTCTATCTTTTTTTTTTTTTTTTTTAGGTTAAGGTGGGGAATGGATGGAAGGCATGCTGGGGCTCAAGGCACAGTCAGACATGAGGGATAGAGAAGTCACAACATATAGTCGTGGGGGGAAGGTTGGAAAAGAAGTTTAATGAGTTAAACAGAGGGGGACGACACCCCTTGTTTTACATATTACAGAGTTTGTTGACTAACTAAGCTAACCTAAGATTTAGAATGAGGTTGCACAATGGTTATTTTAGTAGACAATGACTAGATTGATTTTACAATTACAAGTTTATTAACATCTTATACTGTATTACGTTATGGACACACTTGATTGTGACTTGTTAAATGTGAATTTATATCATCTAAGTTTTAATCTAAGGTGGATCACTGCGGCGGACATAGATGGATTGCGGGTTGGGTTGTTGTAGTGCGGGCAGACTCCGGGGCCACCAGGCGTGGGGTCTCCCTCCGTTGATGTCTTCCCCGCGTAGGTGGTCTGGGCTGTGAGGGTCGTCCAGGAGCTTGTCCCAAACCGTCTTCCCTAGGCGATGGAACCTGAAGTTGAGGGCCTCTGTTTTATTTCTTAGGTGGATGGTTTCCACTGTCTCCTGGTAGGGTGGCGCTTGGCCACTGGCTGACCTCAAACACTTGTTTTGGAAGCTCTGTAGTTGTTGTAGTCTAGTCTTCCCGAGTGTGACGAGTGGTATAGATGGGTACTCCAGCACAGGCCTCACCAGCGCCTTGTACAGGTGAACTTGTATCTTCTCAGGCATCAGTTTAAAACGTTTTAATTTGGCTGCGGCGACTTTGGCTTTATTTAGTCTGTTCTTCACGTGGGGAATGATGCCCGTCCGAGAAATGATGAGGCCGAGCAACCTGCCTTGTTTAGAGTACTCAATCTCTTCGTCGTCGATCATCAATGGCGCCGGCTTGAATTTGGCTATGGGTATGACCTCAAATTTCGTTTTGTTTGTTTTTATTTTCCATTTATTTTCATACTCCGAGATCTCCTCTATTGCCCGAGCAGTGAGTCGCGCCATCCTTGCCGTGGACCTTCCTGGGCAGGTGACGATCTGTGTTACATCGTCGGCATACATGACGTACTCGCTGCCGACGATTGGGGGTGGCAGGTCAGCCGTGTAGAGTGTGTAAAGGGTTGGTGAGAGACAAGAGCCCTGAGGCACGCCGCTCGATAGTGAGAATTCTTCTCCAAAATGTTCTTGCATCTTGATTTTGGCTCTGTGGTCCATAATGAAGTTGCACAGCAGGCGCATCAGATTTTCGGGTAGCCCCAGTTGTATGATCTTATACTGCAACCCTGCGTGCCAAACTTTGTCAAACGCCTTGCTGACGTCCCTCAGTACTATATTGCACTGGAGGCAGCCAGTCATGGCATTGGTGATCTGCCCGTAGGCCTGAGCTATGGCGGTGGATGTGCCTCGGTACTGGCGGAAGCCGAACTGGCGGGGATTATGCACGTCTTCGTCC